GAGGCGCTAGGGGCCGAATTGTTGGACAACCCGAGATTCGATCAACTGAGGCAGGAAATTAGGAACCCAGGGCGTAGAGCCGGGGCCGTCGATGTCGAGTCCGAGGGCCCCCCCCCGCCCGAGGCTTGGGGCGTTCCGGGGGGCGGGGGTTCTCCGGAAGGACCGCCTCGCAGGGCGCCCGAGGTGCCCGTTTCGGTCCCGGAACCTTCCGCGGCCAATGCCGTCGCCCCGTCGGAAAGCTCGACCAGGGTTCCCCTTCCCAGCTCTGTCGTTCCTGCCGATCCTTCCCCCCCTGGCGCCGTGGCGGGAAACGAGGGTCCGACGTCGCTCCCCGGAGTGATTTCGGTTGACGACTCGGAGGCAGAGCCCCCGGACGAACCGGAACTGAGAACCCAGCTTCGGAGACCCGCCGAGGACCGCGAGGCGGATGTGGAGCCCCCGGCTTCCCGGCCCAGACGTGGCCCTCCGGTGGTCCCCAGGCCCCATGAGGGCCCAGGCCCAGGGGGCCGTTTGACTCCGGTCGAGCGGGGATCGGGGACCGTCTCCGATCGGATTCGGGAGTGGGAAGGGTCTTCGAGGAGGGAGTCTCGCGTTCCGAACGCGCAGACAGAGACTGCGAGCGGGTCCAGCGAGCCTGCGGACAGCAGTCGCCGGCGGAGTCGTTCGCCTAATACCTCGGTTGCCAGGGGGCAGCCATCGCCATTGCCAAGTGACTGGCCCGAGCCAAGTTGGGGTGCGAATGCTAGGGGAGAGCCGTCTTTGGGCCTCTACGAGGGAGAGGAGGAAGATGAGCAGGATCGCATTCTGATGCAGGAGGCGTTGGCTCGGGGCATTTCGTTAGAGACCCTCTTCTCGGTTCGAGGGGCCGAGGGAGAGTCGTTCTTCACCCTTGATTTTCAGGACTGTTTCTCTGGGCTCGCAGGCGGAGCTGCGCCTGTCCCCCGCCGGGGAGCCGAAGTCCAGTTGAAGAACCTTTCCCCTGAGGAGAGGTTATTGTTTTCCGCGTCGGATGCTAAGGAGTGGGCGGCGATGACCGCCACAGGAGCGGCACGCGTGCTTACTGCGGAGGAGTCTCGCCTAGTTAGGAGGAGACATCCAGATCGAATCTTGTCCTCTCGCATGATCAGGAGGTTCAAGCCTTCGGAGGGTGTGGGCAACCCTCCGACGGCCAAGAGTCGCTGGTGCGTACACGGACACCAAGACCCAGATAGTGAGCATTTTCAGGTTTACTCCACAGTCAGAATCCATTATGCTGGCGTTACAGGTGATCGCCTCGATGGGGTGGGTTCTCGGGATTGCGGATGCGAAGAACGCCTTTTGTCAGAGCAATAAGCTCGAGCGTCCAAAGGGTGCTATCTATGTGGAGGCTTGTGCTGGTTTAAATCTTGCCCCAGAGACTCTGATAGAGTTAGTGGCTCCGGCTTACGGCCTCAATGATGCTCCGCTGCTGTGGCACCGCACCTTGACCGGACACCTAGAAGGGATAGGATTCGCCCGATCGCTTCTGGAGCCATGCCTCTGGCTGCTAAGGAATGGAGCTGGTCGACTTCAGGCCTTGGTGCTGATAGAAGTGGACGATTTAATCGTGTCGGGGGATTCTTCAATACTGCCCGGGCTGAAGAAGCAGTTGTTTGATAGGTTTAAGTTCGGCAAGTGGGAAGAGGGCGAGGCGGATTATGCCGGTCGTCACATCAAACAGGTGGGTGAGAAGATAATCGTCGACCAAGAAAAGTACGTGCGGGAGCAGCTAACCCCAATTGTGATCTCCAAAGAGAGAAGGAGCGATCCTAGTGCGCCACTGACTTCGTCTGAGATATCCTCGTATAGGACGACTGTTGCCCAGATCCAGTGGCTAGGTCGCGAGCCCCGCCCAGATGTGGCAGGAAGTGCATCTCTGTTGGCAGCTGCTCTGCCCGAGCCAGTGATGGAGGGCGCTCTCATGGCTGATATGGTGGTCAAGTTCGTGCGTGCCTCAGCCTCCCAACATATCACGGTTTGGAACCTCGATCCCATGTGTTTGACGTTTGTGACCGCGTCTGACGCGGGGGGTCCCGGGTCGGCTAGGCGGGGGGGTGCTCAGTCCGGGTGGCTCGTTTTCGCCGCCGACGGGGCCATTCGTCAAAATCGTCGGGCCAAGGTGAGTCTTGTGGCGTGGCGGTCGCAGAGGCTTAAGAGAGTCGCGGCAAGCACGATAGCTGCCGAGACGTTGTCGTTGTCAGGAGCTCTTGCTGAGGCACAATGGCTGCAGATTATCTGGAGGGACGTGGTTTTCGGTGATGTTGCAAGGCCGGACTGGGTGTTATCCCAGGGCCCGTTCTCTGTGATCATGTCTCGTGAGTACAAGATCGCCGGACAGGCTTCTGCCTTGTCGATAGTTGACGCTAAGAGCGTGTTTGATACACTGTCGAGAAATAGTGCGGGGTCTCGAGCTGACAGAAGGAACGCAATCGAGATGGCGGTAGTGCGTGATTATCTCTCTAGTGTCGGGTCTCAAATTAGGTGGCTCCCCCATGGTCTCATGCCGGCTGATCCCCTTGCGAAAGTGGACCCCACTCGTGGTAATGCCGCGTTGCATGACGTGTTGACCCGGGGTTCGTTGTGTCTTATCGATGAGGACGGTCACTGCACCGAGAGGGCGCTGAACGTTTCGTTGAAATCCCGTTCCCGAGGGGCTTCCAAGAAAGCTTTGGAGGTTCAGTCTAAGGTCTAAGGTACTTGTAGTTGGTCACGCTAAGGTGCCAGAAGGGAGAGAAGGAGATCTGGATAAGGCGGGGGAAGGGGCGCGAGGAGAAAGACAGAAGGGCGAGAAGGAGGAGGAGAGGAGCGAGAAGCGAGTTCGATTCCAGGAGTCCTTGGAGCCCTCGCCGATGGAGCCAGCATACGTGGCCTTAACGTTTTCCGGAGTTCGATCCACGAAACTTGGATCCGCTGTTTCCCTTTGGCCCTAGTGGGCCCCGTGTGTGTGTTCCCTCTCGTCTCTTTGTATTTTCTCCGTAGCCGTTAGGCTTCGCGCGAGTGAGCATGTTGCTGGTCGCAGTTCCTTGGCATCAGAAAGTGCCCCCTTTTCTCCTCGTTATCTTTGGGCTTCCAGCGCCATACGTCCTACGGTCTGTGACAGCGCGGCTCGAAGGACGGGTCAGGTTCGACCCCAGGATGGGTCCGGGGACCGACGCTGAGTCGTCTCCCCGACTCCGGCTCCATCCCCACGACTCCCGTTCTCCTCTTTCCCGATTCCTCCGACTCCTGCGATCGTGTCTCCGGCTCCGGCTCCCATCCCCACGACTCCAGTTCTCCTGATGTCCAATTCCCCCGCCTGTCTCTCCGACTCTTGCGATCGGGGCCCCGATTCTGGCTCTTGTCTTCGCGGATGCAGATCTTACAGCATCGGCGCCAAACAGATGGAACAGTTGTGGTCGATACTCCATCACGCGGACGACGACAGCGATTCCGACTCCCGCTCACAGAGCATTTCCTGCGGTCCGCGGCCCCCCGCGCCGCCGTCGTGGGGCCGGCCCCGCCGGACCGACACATCGCGCGCTCGCTTCGCTTCGCCCCTCTTGGCCGATCTTCTCGGGGCGCGCCCCCCCAGCGTGCAGCCCCCGGGGGGCCGCCTGTAACCGCGGGCCCCCCCTCCGATCGAGGGTCGGGGTCTGCACCACGGGTTCGTTCGGCAGCCACTCACGGGAGCTATTCGCGTCGAAGGGCGTCTCGGAGTCGATGAGATAGTGCCGACTTAGCGTCGGCTAGCGTCGATCAGCGTCGATTAGCGTCGATTTAGCATCGATTTAGCGTCGGTTTAGCGTTGACTAGCGTCGATTCGCGAGAGCCGGCAAGATGGCACGGGAGGCTCTCGTGAGTTGCCACCGAAGGTTCGTGTCGTGACGCCCCTGGCGTTGGTTTCCGGCACCGCGCGGATCGTCCAGCCTGGGAGCGGTCGCGGCCGTTCGATGGTGCCGATCGCTCGATGTCGGCCAACTCCAGGCTCAAGTCGGGCGTGTCCCTCTACAGGAGGACTATTCGAAACTAGTCAAAAGATAGTCTGGTGACGATGTTTTGAGTATGTTGGAGTAGTTTTGAATATGTATGTTTTTTTTGTTTGTTCGTCCAAAATCCACCTGTAGGGGGACACGCCCGACCCAATTCCAGGCCGCTGTCGGTGGTCCACCTCCCCGCGCTGGGGGTCGACCGGCGCGAAGCTGCCGCAGGTGTGCCTGGAGTGTTCCTCCCTCGCCGTGCTGCTGCTCCGGAGGCGGGTCCTGTGGCCCCAGGGATCATAAGCGCCCCGCCAGCAGACCCGCGCGGACTTCGGAGTGCTGTGCTTCCGTTCTCTTGCTGCTCTCGTGTGTGATCCCGACCAGGCCCACGCACGGTCCGGCCAGGATCGGCGATCGCGGCAGGATCGAGCCGCATGAACGCGGCGGCGACCCCAGCGCCATCGCGCAGGTCGCCACGACACCGGGACGGGGGATGCCGAGGCAAGCCTTGAAGAGGTTGGGCCGCCGAGCGTCCGAGGAGAGGCGAGCGGGGGGGTATTTTTTGTTGTTGCTGCCTCCTGGCCTCCCCGGGCGCCCTCGTCGCCTCGGCCGGACTCGCTTCGGAAATTCAGTCATAACGCGCTTCTGAGCGGGGGTACTGTTGCTCCTCCTCATCCTCTCTCTCCGCCTCCTCCTCCTCCTCCTCCTCCTCCTCCTCCTCCTCCTCCTCCGCTCGTCGTCATCCCATCTCTCGTCCTCCGTCAGCATGCTGGCCCTCCCTTGCTTCCCTCCCCTCCGCCTCCTCATTGCCTTCCCTCCTCTCCTTCACGCCACGCTCCTCGGCACCCCTTCTGCCTCTCGTCGGGCCCCTCCGTCTTCTCCTAACCTAGATGAAGGGGGTTCAAGTGGAGGTCTCCGAAGGTCTCCAGAGCTCGAGGCTTCCCGAGGCGCAACTGGTTCGAAAAGCGTTTTCTTTCCTCCTCCCCCTCATCCTCCTCATCCCCCTCCTCCGCCGCCCCGAGAAAGGACGTGGCCCCGCACGACCCGAACTGCTCGAAGGCGCCCTGTCCGTTCGAGAAGGACCCCAACTCATCCTCCCTCCTCTTCACACTCCTCTTTCGCCTTCCCCTGCTGCAGCTCCCCCTCCTGCTCGGGTTGGGGAGGGAAAGGAGGAGAGACGTGGGAAGGGGCGCAGGGGAGCGTCAAGGAGGGGAAGGGAGGATGAGGGATTGTGTTGGAGGAGGAGGAGGAGGAGGAGGAGGAGGAGGAAGATGAGGATCTGGAGGAGGAGGAGGATAATTAATGTGAAGGAGGAGGAAGAGGAGGAGGAGAAGGAGGAGGAGTAGGAGGAGGGGGAGGAGGAGGAGGAGGAGGAGGAGGAGGAGGAGGAGGAGGAGGAGGAGGAGGAGGAGACGGAGGATATTGCGAAGGAAGGGGTGGACGGTGAGGAGGAGGAGGAGGAGGAGGAGGAGGAGGAAGAACGTTGGAGCAAACACAGGCGAAAGAGAGGGAGGGCGGAGGGGGGAGGAGGAGGGAGGAGGAGTTTTGCAGGAGGCAGGGAAAGGAATGAGCGATGGCTGAGAGGGGAAAGAGGAGCGAGGACTGAAAGAGATGAAGGGCGGAACCAGGATCGAGGAGGGGAACAAGAAACGAAGGAGACGGAGGAGGGGGGGGAGGGAGTGAATGGAGGGATGCGACATAAGAAGGAGGAGGGAGGAGGTAGGAAGAGGAAGGACGGAATACTTGGGGTAATGGTGGAGGAAGAAAGAGGCGAAGGATGATGAGAAGAAAGAGGAAAGGGTTAGGATCGAAGAGGAAGGACAGAGAGAGGGAGCATGTGAAGCGAGAGGGGAGGGAGGAAGGAGGAGGCGGACCAGGAAGGAGCGCGACGTAGGAGGAGAAGAAGAGGGAGGGGGGGGGGGAAGAAGGGGGAGGCGGCTTTGGAAGCACGGGGGGAGGAGGGAGGATGATGCAGGGGGGGGATAGGGAACCAGCAGTTCCCGCTCGACCCAAGGACACCGACGGCGACGGCGTGCCGGACAGCGAGGACACCGGGTGCCGCTTTGTCATCGTCATCTTCCTCCTGCTCGTCCTTCACCTCATGATCCTTCACGGAGTAGCTTCCTTGTGCACCTGCTCTTCCTCACCGCCATCTTCGTCATCAATGGCATCATTGCTTCTCATCCCCCAGGCGTAGGGTTTTTTATGATCGAAGACGCCTACGGCGTATCACCGACGCCCCCTGCAAGGCCAAACGTTTGGGCAACGTTTGGCTATGTCATTACACCATGCGTTTTCCCAGCCGTTGTGGAAGCCCTTCGACGAACACGTAGGGGAAGACGGGAAGTAAGAGGAGGGGAGGGCGGAAACAGGAGGAAAAGGGGAGAACGAGGAGGAGGAGGTCTCTTTGGAGCTTCTGGGGCCACTCTTTGGGCCTCTTGGGAGCTTCCTTGGTGCTTTTTGGAGGTCTCTTAGGGGCCTCCTTGGGCCTCTTGGGGCCTTTCGGGGCTTCTTGAGGTGCCTCTTGGGGCCGTCTTACGGCGTTCCTTGCCCGTCTGACGCTGTCGGGAGCCGTCTTGGATGCCTCTCTGAACCGACTTGGGGCCCTCTATGGGCGCTTTAGGGCCCTCTTGGAGGCAATCTTGGGCGTCTTGGATCTCTTGGGCCGTTTTGGGGCCCTCTCTGGGCCGTCTTCGAGGCTTCTTGGAGCCGTCCTGGGGTCATCCTGGAGGCCGTTGGGGCCATCTTGGGGTGATCTGGGGGTCCTCTGGGGCCGTCTGGGGCCGTCGGAAGGCTGAAAAGACGCACAGGACAATATCATTCAAACACTGACGGGGGCATCCATAATTTTGGCCTCTTCGGGCCTTCTTGAGGACCCCTTGCAGGCCTCTTGGGCCATCTTTGGGGCCTTTTGGGCGCTTCTGGGGCAGTCTTAGGCTATCTCGGACCATCTTGCTGGTATTGGATGCACCTTGGGACCTTCTTAGAGACCATCTTAAGGGATATCTTGGTCTCTCTTGGGGCCATCTTGGCCATCTCGGAGGCATCGTGGCCGTCTTGGAGGCCATCTTGAGGCCATCTTGGGGCCATCTTGATTGTCGTAGAGGCATCTTTGCCGTCTCGGGCGGCCATCGCGAGGCCGTCCTCAGCGACAAAGCCGAAGAGGCACGCACCCGGGCGCAGAGGGGCCGAAGCCCGGGGGGGGGGGTTCTACAGAACCCCAGGGCCATCGCACTCGCACGGGGCGCGCAGCGAGGGGCGTGATTCCTTTCTGCGCGAGGTCGGGTGGCCCAGAGCCGGGAGGCCCAGGCCCCCCTCGCGTCGTGGTGGCGAGAGCTCGCGTGGCGAAATCGCGGCGCAGGGTCACCAGTTTGACGCAGATCCCTGCCCCTGTGTCTGGCATCACCTCACCTCGATGTGCCGATCTCAACGGCTTCCTCAGGTTTTGAGGACACACCCCTAAGCTTGTCCTCGCTTTTTGCTCGCCCATCTTAGGGACAGGGATATGGTTCGAGGCTGGTTAGAAGGTCCTGGGCGCTTTTTGGCGTGAGGGCCCTGGGGCTCGTCCGAAACCGACTCGGGATGAAGCACCGGTCTTCGGGAAGCGGTTCGAACCTATGAGGAGGGGGGGCGGCACGCTGCGAGGCAAAACACACGCCGTCGGGGGTCTGGAGAGAGGGGAGGTGCAGGCTGGCCTGCCCGATCGAAGGCCATGTCGCTCGGGAGGTCGCGCAGGGGAGGCCCCTTCTCCACTCCTCCGCGCTCTGCGCCTGCGGTGGGCTCGCGCCACGTTGGCGCAGCGGCGGCCTCGAGAGCGAACGCCGGCGGCGGCGCAAGAATCGGCCGATGTCAGACGACCCGCGCTGTCGGAGCGGCGCGGCCGTCCGAGGCGGAGCGATGCACGTGGTGTCAGAAGCCGAGCATGAGGCTCAGGTCTGATTCCGAGTCCGTGGCCTCAGATCGGCGGCGAGCGCGGGCGGGAAGTGAGAAGAAGAAGAAGGCAGAAGGCCTGCTCCGAAGGCTGAGAAGTGCCCCGGCCGACTGAAAACACGAAAAGCACATCAGGAGGCGCGAGGGCTCCTGAGAAGTCCGGCCGTCTTCTGAGAGGGCCTTCTCTCCTTAACGCTTCCCCCCTCGCTCGCCGCCCACAGGAGGCTCCGACCGCTTCCCCGGGAGTACTCAGCTTGTCGTCCCAGACTCAGTTCTGAGGGCCAAGGGGCCCCCAGACGGTGTGGTGACCACACCATGTGGTGAGTCGATGGGGATTCGGGGTCACCGCACGGTTTTGGGACTCGAGTCCCTGTCCGAGGACGTCTTGGGTGACAGGGGCCTCCAGGGTCCCAAGGCCGTGCGTTGACGGACCTTGCGGTGAGGTCTTTTGGGGTTCCGAGGCCACCGCACGGTCTGTCCCCACACGGTTTCGGGACCCCCCAAAAATCGTTGGAGATTTGGGATCTCGTCGGAGGCCGCCGCGACGTGAACACGCCGTGGTCCTCCCCCCTCACCGAAGCGGAAAACGCGCGGCCCCAGATCGTTGGACATTTGGGGTCTCCTCGGAGGCCGCCGCGACGTGAGCCGGCCGTGGCCCTCCCCCGCCCCCCCGAGGCGGAGAACGCGCGGCCCCGCGCGGCCGGCGCGCGGCCGCGGCCCAGGACCCCGCCCCGCACGACCCCGCGTGCTGGCAGCTGCCGTGCCACGAGGGCAGCAAGAGCGACGAGGCCGTGGCCAAGGATCGGGCGAAGAGAGCTATGCACATGCACCGATCCTGGCAAGGCCCACCCTTGACTCATGATCGGTGCATATGCCTTCCTGTCCAATGTAGGAGGGCGTGCTCCGCGCGCCAGGGAGGGGGCCCCAGCGCCGATCCGAGAAATCCGCGCGGACCTCCGAGCTTTTATGTTTATGTCGCTTTTTGTTCCCCTAGGTAAGTCGGGCGCGCGTCCCTCTACAGGGGGAATAGCCAAAAAATAGTCAAAGGACGATACTGTTGGGGGGGAATTTCTGACCATTGTCGAGCGTGTTTTGAGTACTTGTCTGCTGTTTTTCTTCCAGAATCCGCCTGTAGGGGGACACGCCCGACCTTCCAGAAGGGGCGGGCCTTCACAGAAGTCTCGGAAGTCCCTCGCGCCCTCCGAGAAGTGTTCTGAGCCTTCGGAGAAGTCCCGCGGCCTTCCAAGAAGAGGGCCTTCTCCTGCTCACTTCCCCCCGCCCATCCCTCGCCGCCAACATGAACAAGCTGGCGGTGGCCGCGGGTCACCCCTGCTCCAGGGCCGACGGCACCTACGCACCGCAGGCAGGAGTGGCCACGCGCTGGGCGGTCAGGAGCAGCGGCGATGGCACGCACTGGCCCCCCATCCAGTCGTCACGTGCTAGGTGGTCAGCAGCAGCCGGGGCCGCAGCTGGGCGCGCGGCTGCAACGGCGAGACGAGTGGCTGCCCGACTGGCCACGTGCCGAGTGTGGCGAAGCCCTACGTCTTCTGCAGGGGCTGCGGGGCTCATGGCAGGAACGGAGGCCATGGCAGGGCCGGGGGCTCGAGGTGGCCTGTCATAGGTCCGGTCTCATACTGAGGTCCGCACCCCAACGCTGATAGCCAGGGAAAGTATTTTCGATCCAGTTCCACTGCTCCTTCCAGAAACCATCGCCCAGGACGAAGCAGTCCAGACTCTGGGCTAACTATTGGCACTTCACACGCAGCCGTGGCATCAGTGACCCAGGCTTCGGGAGAAAAAGACGCCAACGTGGGTAAGGATGACGACGAGGACAAGATGAATGCCGAGGACGAGGAGGTCGAGCAGGATCAGGACAACGGGCAGGACGACGGGTGCGGAGGAAGGCCACGACCAGGCGGAGGAGGAAGCGGAAAACGAGGACGACGAGGACAACGACGAGGACGACAAGGGAGAGGATGAGAACGACCAAGACGAGGGCGAGGAGACGCTCCAATCCACTACCCGCCCCCCAGGACAGCGATGGCGACGGCGTGCCCGACAGCGAGGACACACCGCAGTGTGCACTTTCCGTTCCGTCTCGTCTCGCCATCATCGTCACCTCCCCTTGAGAGGGATTGTTCGCGACGACGACGACGATGGGCAGGGAAACATCTGGGCCTCGATTGTTCCCCGACAGCACGAGCACTACAACACCACCGATGTGGTATGGGTCAAGGCTGCAGCACATACTGATCATGTTGAATGGTGGAGAAGACACGAAGTTGCATACGTTTCACGGCGCTGGGTTCTCCGTCTAGAGGAGGCTGCTACGGCGTCCATCATGTCCTAATGAGTCCGCGCTGGCGCCCACGCGGCGCTCGCGCGGGTCTGGCGCTCGCTCGTTCGTTCGCCATCCTTGCATCCAGCTTGCTTATGGATAACCCCTCCATGTCGCGCCACAAGATCTTAAGACTAAAGGTGCAACAGCTTCATGGATAGAGGGTGTCTGGTGTTCAAAATGGGTTGGTTCTTCCGTCCCTGCGCCGCGCACATTCGTTGCGAAAGTTTTGCAACAGTTGCAGGGGTGGAGGGTGGTTTTCATAATTCGGGCTCTTGAATGGGCGCCGCGCGCATTCTACTTAAAACCTTGGAGCAGCTACACATATTCATAGGGGTCGTTCTCAAAGTGGGGTTCTCGCCCTGGCGCCCCTTATTCTTTCTACGTCTATTTTGCGTGCCACAGCTTCAAGGATGGAGGGCGGATGCATTTCAAACTGGGGGTACCGCCGTAGCGCAGCGCGCATTCGTCTTAAACGTTGGCAACAGCCACAAAGATGGAGGGAGGCTCCGCTTTAGTATGATGGAGGGATGTTCTAATGATATGAGGCCTTTGTCCCCTCCTCCTCCTCCTCCTCCTCCTCAGCGACCAGCACTTTAACCCCGAATAGCAATTGCACGGGCGGAGAGCGGCCACGTTGCAAATCTGCAGTTCCTTTTCGCATTGGGTCACCAGCCGTGTACATGTGTGCACTAGCTGCACGGATAGGGCGGCGGTTCCTTTTCAACCCAGGGCTCTCGTTTGACGTGCCGTTCAATTTCATGGTGTTGGCTTTTGGCATTTCCACACACCACAAGAATATGCAGGGCGGCTCCTTCTCAAGTTGGGGCGCCCGCCGACTGGCGTGCACCTTGGGGTCCTCTCCCCAGGAGTACCCACATGCCTTGGAGGGCATGTGGGTACTCCTGGGGAGAGGACTTTTGGGATGGGAGGGCGCACTGCAGCAGCGATCGTATTTCCTGCGGTTGCTGTGGCCCGGGGAGAACAAAGCGCAACGTAAACATAGCAACTCGGAGGTCCGCGCGGATTCCTCGGATCAGCGCTGGAGCCTCCAGGCGGCGCCTCCGGCGCTGCCCCTGGCGCGCTCCGCGCCGCGCCGTGGAGGGGGGTCCAGCGCCGACCAGAGAAATCCGCGCGGGCCCCCTCCTCTTCTCCTCCTCCTCCTCCTCCTCCTCCTCCTCTCTTCCTCTTCCTCCTCCTTCTCCTCCTCATCCTCATCCTCCTCCTCTTCCTCCCCCTTCTCCTCCTCTTCCCCCCTTCTCCTCCTCTTCCTCCTCCTTCTCCTCCTCTTCCTCCTCCTCCTCAGCCTCCTCCTCCTCCTCCTCTCCCTCCTCTTCCCCCTCCTTCTCCTCCTCTTCCTCCTCTTCCTCCTCCTCCTCCTCCTCCTCCTCCTCTTCCTCCTCCTCCTCCTCCTCCTCCCCCTCCTCCTCCTGGCGGCGCACTCGCCCTGGGGGCCCCCCTCCGTGGGCAGGAGGCTGGGGCCGACCGGCCCTCGGCGCACGGGTCACCGGGAGGCCGAGCGCGCGCCTGGGCGTGGCGGCGGCGCGCCGGGGAGCTGCCGAGGGCGAGCCTCGGCGCGTGAGCGGCGAGGTTTGAGTCGGGTCTGTTTTTCTACAGGAGGAATGTCCCCAAATAGTCGAAACATGTCCCTCCCTACAGGAGGAATGTCCCCAAAGAGTCAGCAAATAGGCAGGGAACGATTTTTTGAGTTTTTTGTTTTAATCATTTTGGGGCACGTTTTGATTACTTGTCATTTCTCGCCCAAAGTCCTCCTGTAGGAGGACAGGCCCGACTTAAGGCGAGGTGCTGGCGCCTCCCCCTCTGCGCCAGCGCCGAGCGAAGGACTGGCCCCCATGCGGCAGCCGCCCGCGCGGCTGTCGTGGCTGGCCTCTGGTGCGCTCGCCTCGCGCCCCCGCCCCTGGGCTCGAGCAGCACGGCGGGGGGCGGCGCCAGCGCTGTGGGAGGCGGCGGAAGCAAGCGAGCGGCAGCCAGAGCAGCCAGACCCCAGAACAGCTAGAGCGCGGGCCCGCCCTGCGTTCCCCGCGGGCCGAGGCGGCTTCCGCGTGCAGCGCGAGCCCGCCGGACTTCTCCGGCAGGTGCCCGCAAGGAGGGAGGGATTCTATAGGCTTACGCCACATCCGCCGACCCCTTGTATTTTTAGATTCCGCATCTGGTGCGTTCAGAGAGTTCTAGGCTTCCGGTTTTCTGCGTCCGGAGCTCGCGGTACGCCTCTCGGAGCCGTCTGGAAAGCAGTTGTGAATCTACTTGAGGGCCGAGGTGGAGGAGGAGGGGGAGGAGGAGGAGGGGGACACAGAGAGAAGGCTCTGGGTCATGGGTTATGGGTTAGAGGCTTCTTGTATGTGTATCGGGATGTCGCGGCACGCCTTTCGGGGGCGTTTGGAATGCAGTTTTGAAGCCATTTGGGGGGCCGTTTCGGAGCTCTGGGGGCCTCTGGGGGGCTTCTTGGGGGTTCCTTGGGGCGTCTTGGGGGCCTCTTGGGAGCCTCTGGCGGCCTCTTGGGGCACTCTTGAGGCCCCCTGGGGCTCCTGGGGGTGGAGAGCTAGATTTTTTGAAATTTTGGTTGCCCTCTGGGGCCCTTCTTGGTGCCGTCTTGGAGCCCTCTTGTGCCGTCTTGGGGAGCTCCTGGGCGGTCTTGGGGCCCTCTGGGGCCGTCTTGGGACCGTCTTGAAGGCCTCTTGGGCTGTCTTGGGGCTGTCTTCGGGGCCTCTTGGGCCGTCTTGGGGCGTCGGGAAGCCGAAAAGGCGAAAAAGCATAAAACACAGAAAAACACAATGGAACAACATTAGTTTTCGCCTCTCGAAGCCCTGTTGGGAGGCTTCTTTGGGAGCTCTTGGGCCGTCTGGGAGACGTCTTGGCCCATCTTGGGGCTATCTTGGACGTCTTGGAGCGCTCGTTTGGCGTCTCGGGGCCCTGGTGGGCCGTCTTGGAGGCCTCTTGGGGCCTTCTTGGCCCGTCTTTAGGCCCTCTTGGGCCCGGAAAAGCCCCGTGGCGCGTTCGTGGTCGGCCCGGGGGGGGGTCAAATCTCCGGTTTGGGGTCCCGGGGGGGGGTTAGGGGGGAGGAACTATCTCACACGCCTAGAGACCCACAAGGGGTCGGCGGATTGGATCTTTCGAAGAAGAAGCGGCTGCACACATTGACACAGAACTTTTCGTAGCTCAGCGCGGATCTCTTGGATCTGTGCTGGAACCCCCTGGCGCTGCCCCTGACTTCCGCCCTCCAGGGAGGGGGGATGCAGCGCAGATCAAAGAAATCCACGCGCAGCTCCGAAAGGACTGTTTGTACATGTGTTCGTTCTCTGGTCTTGCGCGACAGACGTCTGTACGGCAGGGTCGCGTCGTGTCGGCCGGCGGCGACCCCGCCGACTGCGTTCAGCGTCGAACGCCGCGGGCGACCCAGAATCGGTCGATGTTGAAGGATCGGACGTTTCGGAAACAGCCGATCGTTCTAAGGGTGAACGATCTACGTGGTGTCAGAGACCTCACGCAGAAGTTGTCACGACACGCACATGCCGTAATGGCCAGGTGAGCATGGTTTGCCCATTCCACTGTCTTTCCAGACCCTTTCGCGCCGCGAACAAAAGCACGACGGAAGTTTTTCCCCATGTCTGGCTTCTGGCCATCAAACAACCATTCAGGATGACACAAACAGGTCCCCGGCAAAGGGTCCAGACCTTTGGGGGTCCACGTCATCAAAAAGATCATGACGTCGGGGGCCTAGGTTGCTGGCACAGGTGCCGCACGCGCTTGGATCGGGTTTCGGTGACGGTGTCCGTTTCGCTCTTCGCGTCGAACGTTGCTGACCGAGCCTGGTTGCGAGCGGTGGCGCCGAGGGCCCTGTGCCTGGTGCTTTTGTTGACGCGCACGCCGTCTGAAGCGTTCGGTGGAGTGCCCAGTTGTTCCTCGCGCGTTGCAGTCATGGTGCTGGTTGTCATCGTCAACTGCATCACCATCATCGGCATCATACATATCATCAACATCATCATCACCATGATCATCACCCATCAGCAACACCATGCATCATGCGCCATGAGCCATCACCAGCATCCTTATTATTGTTACCATCATGTTCACCATCATCATCAACATCATCACCATCATCATCATCAGCATCAGCATCAGCATCATCATCATCGTCGTCGTCGTCGTTGCACAGAGTCGGATACCATTACGATGTTGGCACATGATACTGGTGGCGGACCCAACCTAACCACTTGCAGCGGCGAGTGGCGCAAGGCAGATGATCAGGAGGGGGGCGAGCAAGACGACTGTATGAGAAGCACGAGGGCGATGCATAGCAGAGGGTCGGGAATGAGAAGAGAGGTGTAACAATGATTGGGCTCCTCATGAGTGCTACAAAGCGTGTGAGGGCTGACACACCTCACTCGGGTGCACACCGTGTGCCGAAAGTAACCCGAGACGCCATGCGACCGCTGCCAATGGGGCCTTGGGTGGAGCTTCCTATGGGGCCACTAAACGTGTGAAGGGTGTGACGACATGGGCGGTGGATCCGCAGGCAAGCGCAGTCATTTGGGCCTTCGGTGAAGCTCCCTCGGGCGGCAGAACGGCATGCGACCGCAGCCATTTTGCCTCTCGCTAGACTCCCCTATAGGGGGCACGAAACGTGTGAGGGGTGTATCAAGACGCGCGGGGGAACGCCATGCGAATCCTGTCATTTGAGCCTTCGGTGGAGCTCCCGATTGGGCAACGAGACGTGTCAAGGGTGCGCCGAAATGAGCGGGGGGGGCGCCAGGCTAACCCTGCCACTTGGGCCTTCGGTGGAGTCCCCTGTGGGGCCACAAAACGCGCGAATGGTGTGCCGAAATGGGCGGGGGCACGCCGTGCGAACCCTGCCATCTGGTTCTTCGGTTGAGCTCTATTGGGGCACTGGAACATGTGATGGGTGTCCCAGAATGGTCGGGGAGCCACATGCAAACGCAGCCGCCGCTGGGGCATTCGGTAGAGTCATTTATGGGGCCACGAAACGTGTGAAGGGTGTGCCAGAATGGGCGGGTAGACCCGGTGCGAACCTTGCTATTTGGACCTTCGGTGGAGCTGCCCGTGCGGCCGCGAATCGTGTGAGGGGTGCGCAGAGCAGGGAAGGGAAGAGGAGAAGGAGGAGGAGGAGGAGGAGGAGGAGGAAGACCAGGGTAAACCCAAGACGCATCAACGATGCTGCAATGTTCCAGCCCTCCGAGTTCCTTCTTCATGGGGCCATACAAGAACCTTTTGCATTGCGGGAAAATGCCCCGTTAAAAGACAACCGCCTGGAATCCTCAATCGTGTCAGAACACCACTAGTGGGACTTCAGGTACACGAAGCAACTGCCGCGTCCTGCCAGGTTCAATCGTGCCAGGGAGTCATCCGTTGCTGCGTCCTGACACTCCTGAATCGTGCCAGAACGCCATGCCTGGGACTGCAATCCTACGAATGCTCGAAGTTGTTGCACACTATCAGTACTAATGCGCGTGGCGCTAGGGCGAGAGCTACAGTTTGAACATGATCCGCTCTCCGTTTATGAAACGGTCGAAAGCATTTCAGACGGATGTGCACGGCGCTCAGGAGAGGTACATTCTGACAGCTGTTCGCACTCCATCCTTGAGAAGAGCGTGAGTTGCCCTGAGGTGAGAGCCACAGTTTGAAAAAGGACCCGCCCTACATCCTTGAACTTGTTGCAGGCTGTAAGGCCAATGTTCGCGGCGCTAATGCTAGAACCGCGTTTTGCAACCATCTCGTTTTCCAGAATGCCATGTTTCAGGATCGGAATTGTCGAGGGCGTCTCGGGCGAAACGCCTGGCTCGCCCTACCGAGGCGTCTCGGGGGTGCGACAGGGATGAGTTTCTTTTTAAGGAAGGGAGGAAGGACGAAGAGGAGACGGATGAGGAGCAGGGGGAGAGGAAGGGGGACGCTGGAGGTGGGTGGAGCGGGGCGCTGCTGCTCCAAAACGAGGACACAACACCACAGGACGGTTGGGAAAACGGGAGAGGGCGGCAGCGGGTTGCGAGCAGGACCCTGCGCCGCACGACCCGAGCTGCTGGGAGAAGCCTTGCGCCACCGACAGCGACGGCGACGGCGTCATGGATGACAAGGACGGTCGTGCCAGCTTGGGCGGGGGCGTACCGTGCGATAGCGGCACCATGCTTTGTTGATGCTGAGATCGCGGGTATTCAATGAGCGGCAATTGCATTCCATGTCTGTTTTGATGTGGCCTGAAATCTTCAGTTCGGCTGTTTCAGTCGTATTCCGAGTGTGGTTGCTTGTCTTGAGTATGGTTGAAGAGGGGATTTTGCTTACGGAATCTCGTCATGCCCCGCGAAAGGGGAGAAGTTCCTTTTGAGGTCGCGAAGCGAGTGAAGGGTGTGCCGAAATTTGCGGGAGGAAGGCATGCGAGACGTTGCCGCTGAGGCCTTCGGTGGAGCCTTGCGGGACCACGAAGCGCGTGAAAGGGTGTGCCGGAATGGGCGGGAAGATTGCATGCGAGAGACCTTGCCGCTGAGGCTTTCGATGGGGCCCATTGCAGGGCCACGAATCGTGAGAAGGGTGTGCTCACGGTATGTTCGCGTCGTGTCGATGGGCGGCGACCCCGCCGCCGGCGTTCAGCGTTGAACGCCGCCGGCGACCCAGAATCGGTCGATGTTGTTCGATCCGACGTTTCGGAAGCGGCCGATCGTTCATGGTTGAGCGGTAACCGCGGTGTCAGGAACCAACGCCGAGGTGACACGAACTTTCCGCGCAGAGTGTGCCTACACGGGTGGGAGGGGGCGTCGTGCGGCACCTTGCCATTGAAGCCTTCGGTGGAGCTCCCCTGTGGGGCCACGACTGCCACCAAGTGTGAGGGTTGCACCCGCATGGGCGGGGAGCGCCATGTGGCACTTTGCACATGAACTTCTCGGTTGAGTTCCAATACACACATATATATATTGATATACATATATATATGTATATAGATTCATATATATATATATATATATGTACTTTTACACATATATATATATATACAATGTCATATATCTATATCTCATTGAAAGAGCGTGTTCTACCGCTGCTGGCGGAAAACCGGGGGGGGTTACTACCGGTTCGAACCCCTCCCCCCCCCCCTCCGGAAAACCTGGGGGGGTCACTACCCGTTCGAACCCTTCCCCCCCCCCCCCCCCAGCTCATCATGAAAAGGGGGGTGGGTCACTACCGGTTCGAACCCCTCCCCCCCCCCCCCCCCCCCCCCCCCTCGAAAACCGGGGGGGTCACTACCGGTTCGAACCCCCCCCCCCCCTCGAAAACCGAGTGGGGGTGCGGACAGTGGTGGGGACGGTGTTGGTGGGGACAGTGGTGAGGGGATAGCGGGACAGTGGTGGGGACAGTGGGACAGTGGGACAGTGGTGGGGACGGTAGTGGTGGGGACAGTGGTGGGGACAATGGTGGGAACAGGGGGGGACAGTGGACAGTGGTGGTGACGGTGGTGGTGGGGACAGTGGTGTGGGGACAATGGGAATGAGGTGGAAACAGTGGGACAGTGGAGGGTACAATGGTGGTGGGGACAGTGGTGAAGGCGGTGGCGAGGACGGCGGTGGGACAATGGGACAGAGGTACAGTGGGGACAGTGGTGGGGACAGTGGGGACAGTGGTGGGAACAGTGGGACAGCTCAGTGGGACAGCGGAGGAGTCAGTGGGACAGTGGGGACAGTGGGGATAGTCGGGCAGTGGTTGGGGCCGTGGAGACAGTGGGGAGAGTGGAACCGTGGTGGGAACAGTTCTGGGGACAGCGGGGACAGTGCGACAGTGGTGGGGGCACTGGTGGGGACAGTAGGGGCGGTGGTGGAACCAGTGGGGACAGTGGTGGTGAGGACAGTGGTGCTGGGAACACCAGTGGGGGATGTGATGCGGACGGTGGTGGGGACCGGGAGTCGTTTGCTGGCGGTGAGTAGGGGGGGGGGGGAAAGGGGAAGGGGGGGTGCGAACCGGTAGTGGCCCCCTCCAGTTTTCCGGATCCGGAGGGTAAGGGGGGGGGGGGAGGGGTTCGAAGCGGTAGTGACCCCCCCTTTTTCCGTATCCGGAAGGGGGGGGGGGGGAGGGGTTCGAACCGGTAGTGACCCCCGGTTTTCGAGCGGGAGGGGGGGGGGGGGGGGAGGGGTTAGGGGGAGGGGAGGTTTTGCCGGGGGAGAGGGGGGGGGGGGGAGGGGTTCCAGCAGGGGGGGGGATTTTCGGAGGGGGGGGGGGGGGCGACCCCCGGGTTCTGGAGGAAAAGGTTGGCAATTTTCCACAGTAAAGCGGCGGTGGATCACGCTCTCTCATATATCTATATATCTATATATAGATATGTAGAGCCTTGAAACGTGCGAGGGGCGTCCCGATGTGAGCGGGCGGGCGCTGTGCAGCATCACCTCTTGCGGGCTTCGTTGGTGCTGCCCGTGGGGGCCACGAGGCGTGTGAGGGGCGCGCCGAGCCTTCCGTGGGGCTGCCTGGTGGGGGCCAGGGAGCGCGCAAGGGGCACACCACAATGGGCGGGGGGCGGTAACTGGCACCTGGCTAATTATTGGGGCCTTTGGCGCTGGGCACGGGAGAGGGCGGCAGCGGGTTGCGAGCAGGACCCTGCGCCGCACGACCCGAGCTGCTGGGAGAAGCCTTGCGCCACCGACAGCGACGGCGACGGCGTCATGGATGACAAGGACGGTCGTGCCAGCTTGGGCGGGGGCGCAGCGCACCGTGCGATAGCGGCACCATGCTTTGTTGATGCTGAGATCGCAGGTGTTCAATGAGCGGCAATTGCATTCCATGTTTGTTTTGATGTGGCTTGAAAATCTTCAGTTCGACTGTTTCAGTCGTTCGATCGAGTTGTCTTGCGAGAGTAGTTGTTATGTCCTGAGTGTGACGAAGCGGGGATTGTCTACACGGGATCTCGTCATGCTTATTCCATGGTTGTCTCCATACAGGTGCGGTGCCACGTGGAGTCAAAACGTTGGAAGGAGGTCCGGCTCCGATCGCAGAGGCGAGTCTGGGACCTCGCAGCCCCCTTTCGTTCTTCTTCTTCCTCATTCCGACGGGGCACCTTTATTGCCCCAAGGCTAGCTAACCCGAGGTCATCCCAGCTTCAAGTCCTGCATATGTGGTCCTTCGCTGAGGTCTCTCGAGTGTAGCTTGTGCTGATTCCGACCTGGTGCCTGGATCATTACTATTCTTCGCCATCGTCATCATCATCACCTTCATCATCACCACCATCATGAGCATCATCACCATCATCAGCATCGACGTCGTCGCCGTCATGCTCACCACCACCATCATAATCATCAACATCATACTCATCATCACCATCATCGTCATCATCATCTCAATAATCACCATCATCGCCATCATCACCAGCATCATCCTCGTCATCATCATTATCATCAGCATCGGTCTCATCACCATAGTCACCATCATCACCATCATCACCACCATCATCATCAGCATCGTCATTGTCATCATCATCATAACCTGTCACCTGTACTGGCGCAAAGATGATCGCACTTTGCGGCTTGGGCCGCAAAGGTACCATTCTCTGGCGCGGCTCCGCGATCGCACAAAGATGATCGCGCGATGCGCGAAGGTAGGTGACCTAGGTCACCCTCGTCTTGTGAATTGGGATGTTGCCTTTTCAACCTGGCTGCGACGCCCTCCTTTGTCTGTCTTGGCCTGGACTACCGACCAGCACTGTGTGGACAGTGAGCCCAGGGCGTTGTGAGCGCTGCAGACATTGAATGACATTGAATGGCCTTCGGCCCATCCCGCCACCGTGCCTGGGTTGTAGGTCATACGTAGGCCTCTCGGATGTTCGTTTGGACGTCGCGAGGTACTTCTCGGGGATCTCTTGGGGGCCGCTTTGACGCCTCTTGGAGGCCGTTTTGGGACCTCTTGTGGTGTCTTGGGGGCTTTTGGGGCCTCTCGGGGGGGGGGGGCCTGCTTGGGCATCCTTGAGGTTTCCTGGGGGCCTCTTGAGGCGGAAGACTCCGATTTTCGGTTCGTGTTCCCTTTCTTGGAGCCTTCTAGGGGGTGTTTTCGAGACCCTGTTCGGCCGTCTTGGGCGCCTCTGAGGGCGACTTGGAGCCCTCTGGGGCCCTCCTGGGGCCCCTCCTTGGGGCCTCTTGGGCCGTCCTGGAGCGGCCTTGGGGGCCTCATTGGCCGTCTTGGAGCGTCGGGAGCTCGAAACGTCGAGAACCCCAAACATCTTGAACAACATCAATGGGGAATCAAAGATTTTGACCTCTCGGGGCCCTCTTGGGAAGGCTCTTGGAGCTCTCTTTGGGCGCCTCGAAGTCTTCCTGGGCCGTCTTCGGGGCCATCTCGGGCATCTTGGGCCGATCGCGCGGCGAATCGGGGCCCCCTTGGGCCCGAGACAGCTCTTCGGACACGCGCCCTCGCACGCCGGGAAGCCCAGAGGGCGCGCGCCAAGGCACAGGGAAATTCGGCAGTTCGGGGCCCAGGCCCCTGGAAGAAGCTTCAGGACTGGGGGCTGAGGCTCAAGGGAGCAGGCCAAGGGCCTGAGGACACTCCAGCTCGTGCCCCCCGGGGCACGGTGGCGGGTACTGCAGCCCTGGCGTGCAGCAAACACCGCGGAGGGATTGCATGGCCGGGCTGGCTTCGCACGTGTTTCGAGTTTACCGTGATGCTCGTATGTCGGCTGGCGAGGTCTAGTGGCGCAGTGTAAGAGCTCGTTGCTTCGTGCTTCGTCGCACGTCGGTCGCTTCCTTCTCGTCACCGCCCTGTGCCATGCGATCGCATGTCTTCCTCCCCGCTCATCTCATCCATGGCCGTTTTGCCTCGAGGTGTTCGCTTGCTTGCACCCTTCGACCTTCTCTGGCAGATTCAACACTCCTACGACGAGGCCCCCGGCAGCTTCTCCATGGCGAGGGTGTGGCACGCCGTCGTGCTGGTCGCCCTGACGGTTCCTGCGCTGTCGCTGTCTGTCGACAAGGCGAGCCCTGAGAAGGTGACGGACCACTACGCCACCGCAGTGAAGGCTTGCGAGGCGTGCGCGGTCTCCTACCTCGCAGGTGTGTGTTATTCCGGCGCTTGCGACGACGGGATCGGGTTCTGCTTCCGCACCGCGGCCTCTTCGGGCTACCAGCCGTGCTGGGTAAGCAAGATGGGGCCTTCTGCTCGCGGGGGCAAGCCCGGCGCATAGCTGGCGCCATCCAGGCCCGCGCGGCCCTGACCTTGTCAGCCGACCCCTCCGGATCCCCACGTGAGGCACGCGCGTGCACGGTTGGCCTCGGCGGATCAGTGGGCCTCGTCTGTGTGGTGTCGCGCCTGCACCGTCTTCAGAGTTGCGACCGCCAACGAAACGTGGTCGCTCTGCGCTCTGCCTCCTGCTGCTATTGTTGTTGCTCGAAACCACGTCACTAGCAAACCACAGTTTGCCTACGGTCCACCTTATCATGCGGCCGCCCCCCGTCATGCGCTTGGCCACCGCTCCTTGGGACGCTCCGTTCGTGATCTCCTAGTTGCTCTGGCCGCGGTCATCGAAGACGCCTATGGCGAGTCACCGCCGCCCCCTGCCGTTTTGGAATCGCCCATGTGGCCGAGCGTTGTGGTAAGAGCCCTGCAAAGCTATCGGACCACGTGTGCCCCCGCAGCCGTTGTGGAACCCTTCGGGGAACACTTGGGGGAGGATGGCGGAGAAGATCAGGAGGAGGAGGAGGAGGAGCACCCCTTGTGGGGCCGCATCTGTGGCCCAACGTGGCAGCCAGAGCTTGGCCTAGAGGTCGGATCATGTGTTCCCCGAGTTGGGCTGGAGGGCATTCGAGGAACACGCGAAGGAGCAGGAGGAGGAGGAGGAGGAGGAGGAGGAGGAGGAGATGGAGAAGAAGGAGGAGCAAGAGGAGAGAGTGAGGAGGAGGAGGAAGAGGAGGAGGAGGAGGGAAAGGACCCGTCCAAGGCAGTTATCCGGGGTTGTCTCGAGCGAAACGTCACTTTTGAACACAAGTGTGAACAACCCTACGGTTTTGAATATTTGCGTTTCTTTGGCCATTGTGGAAGTCGTCCGAGAGGGAGCAGTGCATTTGTTTGAGGATGTCTGCAGCGAAGTCGTCATTCTGGAAGAGCCGAAGATGAGGCCATCGATTCCAACATCGCCATCTTTCGAGGATGTCTCGTGCGAAACGCTCATTGCGATCATGAGGCGTCTTGGGCTAGGATCCCCAGGGTCGCGATTCTTTGAGGATGTCCCCAGCGAAGCGGCCAGTTTTTGAGACGTTGGTGGCGCAGCGGGCGGGCCGGGTGGCCGGCGCGCTTGGCCGGAGCCCTAAGGGGGAGTTGCTTCAACAAGGAACCAAGACCGAACCAGTAGGATTTAGCACGCAGGCATGCTTGTGGCAAGACCACAGGGGGCGGCGGATCGGCCCATCCCGCCACCGTACCTGGCTTGTGGGTACGAAGCCTACTGGATGTTCGTTGTGATCTCGTGGGGGGCCTCTCGGGGTCCTTTGGGAGGCAATTTGGACGCCTCTTTGGGGCCGAGCGGGGGCCTCTTGTGAACCTCTTTGGGCCACTTGGGGCGGAAGGCTCGGATTTTCGGTTCGTGTTCCCTCTATTGGGCCCCTTCGAGGGCTGCCTTTGGCCCTCTTGGGCCGTTTTGAGCCCGTCTTGGGCCGTCTGTGAGCCCTGTTCGGCCTCTTTGAGGCCCTCTTGGAGGCCTCTTGGGGTGGTCTCGGGACCTCTGCGTCGGGGAGGCCGTCTGGGAGCGTCGGGAAGCCCAAATGGCGAGAAAGACATAAACCGTCCAAAACTTCAGAACGATACATGAATTGGACATCTTGTGGCCCTCTTGGGAGGCTTTTCTTGGGTGCTTCTTGGGGCGTCTCGGAGGCCTCTTGGGCTGTCTTGGGGCTCTCTTGGGCGTCTGGGCCGATCCTCGGGCGTCTCGGGGCCCTCTTGGGCCGTCTTGGAGGCCGCTTGGGGCCCTCTTGGGGCCCGTCTTGGGGCCCTCTCTGGCCCTGGAAAAGTCGCGCGCCACCACTTCCCAAAGCCCATGGGGGCACGCGGCAAGCCCAGGGACGATTCATTCGGAGATGGGGCCCCCTGGCCCCGAGAGCACTCGTCAGGACGGAAGGCTGGGGCTCAGGGGGCTTGGCAAAGGACCTGAGGGCACGCCCTCTCCGCGCCCAGCGGCACGGGGGCGGACATGTTTTGCACATCGATCGAACACCGCGCCTGCGCTCGGGAGCCGATCGAGGAATGAGTTTGGCAGCGTCAGCAGAGAGCCCCCGTCTGGCGTGCCCCCACTGCCACCCTCCGATCAAAGATGCACGCATGCTGTGCCCACTCTGGAGCCACGCCGCTCTGACCGCGAAGCCAGCGTCGCCGAGGAGAGGCCCGATAGTGGGCCTCCATCTCCCCTGCGCGTCGCGCAAGGTTCTTTTGATTTCAGAGCTGAAGGCCAGCCGGTGGCAAGGGAATCGCAAACAAGGGTAGAGCCATAAGCCCGCCCGCGGATTCTCCCAGCGCGTGGCCAGCTCCAGTGGCACGGAAGGAGAGTGGAAGGAGACGGGGTTCAGTGGCATTTTTTGTCTGACGGTTTCAACAACGGTTTCCTGTTCACGAAGCTTGTGGCCTCGAACCTCGAGCCCTTGAAGCAAACAGTGTAGATCAGGTTGAGTCCCCACGAACTCATGTTGTCAATTGTGAGCACATGATCATGACCAGCCGGTTCACGACACTTTGCCCTAAATTCAACATGCCCATTTACGTTTGACAGCGCCACCAATATATTACCATCCCTTGTGCCTGAAATTGTACACAATGCCCATTCGGGATGGTTGAGCCGCCTTTGCCACCCAATGCCGCTCGGCAAATCAATAGAGTTACAGATCCGAGAATATCTTCTTATGCGTTTAGCCAACGACTGGTCTCAAAGCCATTCGCCAAACCTGATCTAAGAGCACGTAGTTTTGGCTGTTATGGTGATTGGTTACCGCACAGCTTAAAGGCCTGATCATTTCAATTAGCATGCCGTTGGCAAACCCTGAGTCGGGCGAAATTCGATCGTTGACACATTAGCTCGGCGAAACAACCAAACCATATTCAGAATCGAGACGCACAAACCAGGTGATATGAAGAAGGGGGCGAGTGAGATGACTGGGACGTGTGGACAAAGGCGAATAACAGCAGTGGGTCAGAAATGAGAAGCGAGGTCGAGAAACGATTGGGCTTCCTCTGGGGCCACGACAAGCGGGGTGTGCCGATACGGACCAGAGCCGCCATGCGACCGCTGACATTGGGGCGTCCGGTGGGGCTCATTGTGGGGCCACGAAGCGCGTGAGGGGTGTGACGAAATGAGCGGCGGAACCGCATGCAAACGCAGCCATTCGAGCCTTCGGTGGAGCTCCCGATGGTGCCGCGAAATGTTGGAGGGCTGTGCCGAAATTGGCAGTGGAACCATATGCAAACACAGCCGCTGGGGCATTCGGCGGATCCCCGCAACTAAAGAGCGGGCGGTGTGCAAAAATGGGTACCTAGGAGGACGCCATGCGAACCCTGCATGTTGGGCTTTCGGTGGAGCTCCCAATGGGGCAACAAAACCGAATCTTCTGACGTGTGTGCTGAGGTGGCCGGGGGTGACACCATGCCAACCCTGCAGTTGGGCCGTCGGTGGAGTTCCCGATAGGGCCACGACGGGAGGAAAAGGAGGAGGAGGAGGAGGAGAAGGAGGAGGAGGAGGAGGAGGAGGGGGATGGACAGGGGGAGGGGGGGAGGTGTGAATCTCAGATAGATTTCTAGGGTTCTTTGCGACCAGAGCTCCTGACCCCGTTTCCGTCCTGTTCGGGTCCACGGAGCTCTCGAACCCATGTGCAACCACCCGCACGTGCTCTGTTTTACTGTCCGTAGCCGTCCGGCTTATAGCCGGGCCAAGAGGCCCTTTTTGGTGATTTTGATTCATCGGTCCGAAGCTCAGGGGGACCGCTCGAGATAGAAAGCGAGTTTCTCTCATCGTATCTGCTGCATATCAAGCCCTTCGAGCTCGACATCTCCGCCTACTGGAACAGCCCTGAGGACCAGCTCCCAGAGGCTGTGAGGATTTCTCGAGGTGAAAGGCTGAAGATCCGTGGAAGGCACGCTCCACTGACATTGGTAGCGCGACGAAGTGGCAGCCCACTTCGAGGTCGATCTCCAAATCGTGATGGCGAATGAGCAGCAGTCCGGCAGCAAGATTCCTGTGTGGAATGGTGAGGCCTCCAGTTTAGAGAGTTTCGAGGAGAAAGTAAAGCTGTGGGTCCTGGGCACGAAGAAGGATGACAGAATCTACCTTGGCCCGCGCCTGGTTCAGGCGATGGACGAGGACTCGCAGCAGTGGTTCGAGGCGAAGAAGGTGTCGCTCGATGACCTTGTCAAGGAAGACGGAGCTGAAAAGGTTGTGGAGGCACTCAAGGGAGTTCGAGGTACGGTCACGATGCAGGAGGCTGTGTCCAAGTGGAGAGAGTTTATGCGTGGAGTGTATCGGCACCCAGGTGAAGGTCCGAAGCGATGGGTCTCTCGTTTCGACATCCACCTGAGCAAGATTGGGAAGGCCCTCCACGCAGTCTGTGATGAGATTCCAGCCCAAGGGTTTATGCACGAATTCATCTTAGGGCTGATCCTGCTGGACGGGACGGGCCTAGACCCGTCAGAGCAGGCCGCGGTGCTGGCGACCAGCGGCCCCAAGGGCAACTCGTACCTCTATCAGGACGTGAAGAAGGCACTGGCTGAGCAGTGGTCGGAGGAGCAACTGGCATCGCGGGACAAGCAGAAGGGGTACAAGGCCAGAAAGGGCGCTCACGCGGTCTTCGACGACGCCGACGAGCTTGCCGCCTACGCCGAGGAGGTCTACGACGAGGCGTACATCGACGGGTTCGAGGAGGCAGCGGACATCGCGGAGTCAGCGATGACGGCAGCCGAAGACCTGATGACTGCCGCGCTCGGTGAAGAGCCCATAGGAGACGAGGAGCAAGGAGAGGATGCGCTGGCAGCGGCCGCCTCGACTCACGAGACGAACGAGTGGACGGAGACGGCCTTCGCGGCTTCGAGGACGTTCGTGGAGGCGAGGAAGCTGATCAACGAGGTCAAGAACGCCAGGGGCTACTTTCCAGTGGTAGGTCTGGGTGCCTACGACTCGCTCCCGACTCAACCCGCCGCTGGAGCTGGACGCGGACGGGCAGTGAGCCGGGGCGGGCCACCTCGCAAGGGCAAGGGCAAGGATCGAGGCGGTGTGGCAGGCCGCGGCAAGGGTCGCGGTCAAAGTCAGAAGCGTCCAGCAGCACTTCCGAAGGACTCGAACTCGGGGACCAATGACAAGTTCAAGGGGGCTTGCCTGCTCTGCGGCGAGCCGGGCCACAAGGCAAGGGACTGCCCCAATCGGGGCAACGGCGGCGCCCAAGGGGAGAGGCGCCGGGCTTTCAACAGCTTCGTTGGCGCGGCCGACGGCTACAGCAAGAAGGTCGAGTTCGAGGACGTCCAGGACGTGTTCATCGGCGCGGTCAATGACGAGGGCGAGGCCAAGGACGGCGACGAGGAAGGGCTGGACGAGTTCGTGGCCTTCAGCATGGACGACTGCAAGGGCTACGCGCTCCTGGACGGTGGAGCGTCCAGGTCCGTTGGAGGCGTGGAGCAGCTAGAGTACGTGAACGAGCGACTGAGCGAGCCCATGGAGGTCAGCCCGGACAAGAGTCTGGGATTTTCGTTTGCTGGAGGCGACCGGGCCGACGCGCCCTCACGGGTGACCTTCAATGTGAAGGTCCTGAACGACGAGGCGGTGAGCATCTATGTGCTGGACCGTCAGTCTCCCGTGCTACTGGGAATCGATATGCTGAAGAAGTACGGGCTCGTGATCGATTACTTCCACAACACCGTGTACTCCCATCGGTTCAAGCGTGAGATCCCCACGAGAGTGCTCCCGTCAGGGCACTTGGCACTGAATCTTACTGCTCTGGGCAACGAGGCCTCGAGCGCAGTCAGCGAATAGGGGCAGCACCCTGGTCGCGGCAATGAGACTGTGGAAAAGTCGTCATCCAAGTCTGTCGCCACCAGGGGCCCCAAAGACGCCAATGAGCTCCCCAAGATGCTCCAGAAGTTGCTCGAGGCCAGTGTCTCCATCATGGGCCCCTACCCCGAGCTAAGCCAGTCTATGCTACAACCTATTCTTGGGTATCTCTGGGAACGGGCTGACTGGAAAGAAGGTGCGAGAGTGAGTCGGGATATATGGGTCGACTGCTCACACGCTTTAGTTCGGGTTCATCATCGGGTTCGTTTTCAAAGGTGTGATCTTCGAGATTTTGAAGCTCGTGATTTAGCCAGCTTATCGGGGAAACGACACACGCATATGATTCGAGAGGACGGGGGACCTATGATGATCATCGAGAGCCCACCGAATAAAACCGCTCGGCAAGTCGAACATTCGAGATGGGTCGGTCTTACTATCTACCCAAGATCCTTGTGTTCGAGAACCGTTTTGGCTCAAGAAGTTCAACGAAGCAGGTCTCAGATCGAGAGCGCGTTCCAGGCCGATGCCGAGATGCGCCCATCGGGATCAGACACGTCAGGGGTCCAACCATTTCGTGGACCTGATCAAGTGCAGGGACTGCGGGGAGGTCCTGTTCAAGCACCACTTCACGAAGACAAGCGACCAGATGCTCTTCCAGTGTGTGCGCTCCCGACAGTACATCAACCGCCTGGAGACCACGGGTACGGCCCAGCCCGCGTCGCCCATGGTAAACCAGTCGAGCTCCTCGGACAGCGAGGCCGTGACGGCGACAACGGCGCCTACGTCAAGGCCTCCACCGACCCCTCCAGGGGCTCCCAAGAAGCTGCCCGAGCGCCTGTCGGCCGAGGTGATTCGGAAGCTCACGGACACGGAGGTGCAGCAGATCATCGAGAGCGAGAGGATCAAGATCCGCCTGGAGGAGCAGCGGCGCCTCGCGCAGGAGATTCTCCAGAAGGGCCTCATCGACACGCCGACGGACCAGCCGGAGGAGGACGACAGGACCAGACCGAGCAAGAGGCAGGGCGTCGGCCAGATGCCCAAGGGAGAGTCGATTCCCGTCCCGGAGGATCTGCCGAAGCCGCCAGGAATGCCTGTGTGCTTGGAGCGCTGATAGCGGCGACGACAGCTCTGGGAAAGATGCCGGGCACCGCCTGGGAGGCAGCCGAGACCTATGGTAGGCTGGACCTCGCAGAAGTGGCCTGCGTGTCCGACTCCAGGCTCACGCACGCGATGATCGAGCAAGGAGGCAAGGCCGAGAGATTCAGCAACTGGAACGGGTATGACTTTTCCACCAGGTCTGGTGCAGAGAAGCTCGTGAAAGTACTGCGGGGCAAGAGGCCTCGAAGAGTTTGGTTTTCCCCACCGTGCGGAGCAGAGTGCCCATGGCAGAATCTGAACCCCGTAACGGCGGAGTCAGAGAAGAAGCTGATCAAGACCAGACGTATCCAGAGGAACGTCAGGGCTATCGGTCAGCTGCTGAACGAGGGTTTCTGTGACATATACCTTGAGCAGTCAGGACGCTGCAGATCTTGGACAGGCAACTTCAAGGAGCTCAAGGAGTCCATGCACGGCTGCAGGATTCACGGATGCATGTATGATCTGAGAGACGAGCAGAACGGTCTCCTCATACGCAAGGACTGGCACATCGCGACCACAGGCCCGCAGTTCGAGAAGAAGGTTGGGAGGATTTGTCCAGATCTGCATCTGCATATGCCGCTGGAGGGCGGCACGAGAGTGGCTCTTTCAGCGAATTATCCCGTGAACATGTGCAGGAGGATCGCCCAGCACTTCATGGCCAGGGCCACCTCGGACGAGGCCCTCGCCTATCTGGTGCAGGCCCGCAACGAGCTGGACGACGAACTGTGTGCAGCGGGCTACAGGCGATTGCGGGAGAAGCGGCCCGCCTCTGAGGGGCCACCACCGCCGCTGCAGAAGCGTCCAACGCTGGAGCCCACAGCTCCTGAAGGTCAAGGAGAAGGAGCAGGCAGACCAGTACCAGCTCCTGATCCTGACGACCCTGGAGATGCTCAAGGTCCTCCAGAAGGCGAGGCGCCCCTGCCGACGCCCGAGTCGGGAGGTCAAGAGCAGTCGGTGGGCAATCTCAGACTGTCACTGCCAAAGAGTGTCTTGAGCTGTACCAAGACAGAGTTGCGAGAGCTGGAGGCCATCATCGCACATATCCATCGGAATTTCGGACACTGCAGTATGAGCACGGTCAGCGCCGCCCTCAGGTCTCGCAAGGCGGACCAGAAGCTCATTGATCTTTGCAGCCACTACGAGTGTCCAGCCTGCAAGGCAGCTCAAAGGTTTCAGATGCGACCTATTGCCAGCTCAGAACCGACTTTCCCGCTCCTGGTACTGAAATGGGTTGCGACAACTTCTATTGGACACATCCTCGACGAGCCTACCAAGTTCGTGGGACTCTCTGTGCAGATTATGGCAGCCGTTTTACCCAGACATCGATTCACTGTCAGAATGGTGTCGAGGAGCATTGTGGTAACACCACCGCGAAGGAGACGCAGGAGGTAGTGCTGAAGGACTGGATCCACCACTACGGCAAGCCGGAGGTCTTCAGGACAGATCCCGAAGGTTGCTTCAGGCAGGTCGAGCAGCGCGCCTGGGTCTCGGGTAACGGCATGGAGTGGAGACCAGAACCCGGAGAAGCTCACTGGCGAATGGGAGTGATCGAAAGATGCATCGAGACGATCAAGGAGATCGCCACTCGCCTCGCCTGGGAGCTACCAGATGACACCGAGCCCGCGGACATCTTTCGCTGGGCTTGCGTGGCTAACAACGACCTGATGCGACACCAAGGCTACAGCCCGATGATGCTCATGATGGGTCGTACCCCGTCGGGGCAGGGCTTAGAGCAAGTGGGGAATCCTTCAGTCCTGAGCGCCAATGTGGTGGACAAGCATTTCCAGGAGGTCACGCGCATCAAGGCGGCAGCTTACAAGGCGTGCGTGGACCACTACCTGTCGGAGAAGACGAAGCGCGCTCTGCTGGCCAAGACGAGGCCGTTCAAGACATGGGAGCCTGGTGAGAAGGCACACTACTGGCGAGGTGCGAAGGGTAACAGCCACAAGACTCGGCCAGGTATAGCTGGTCGATTTCACGGTCCCGCCACTGTCTTGATGCAGGAGCGCGAGATGAAGAATGGTGTTGCGGTGCGACGAGGAGTTGTCTGGCTTGTTGACGGTGACCGTCTTGTACGAGCAGCGGCCGCTCACCTCCGCACGACTACGAAAGCGGAGCAGACCCTGGAGAGCATCTCCGCAGGGAGCTCCGACCACTTCAAGAAGATTCTGCAGGAGCTGACGAAGGGTGCTTACGATGATGTGGTGGCTCAGCCTGGTCCGGGAGAATGGGACGATATTCCAGAAGGAGAGAATGGTGAAGTACCGGACCCACCCAGGACGACAACTCCCAGAAGTACAGCATTTCCTCAACCTGACGATCACGAAGGAGAAGCACAGAATCCAGCTGAACCAGCACCGACACCGACCAGCGACCAGATCGACGAGAGCGAACCACCACCAGAAGGTTACAACAAGCGAGAAGCCAGCCAAGAGCCTCCTGGAGATCCAGAACCCAAGAGACATCGAGCCGACTCCGCAGGATACTTGAGCCATCTATGCCAGAAAGTACCGACACTTGTCATGCCCGAGCTCGGTCGTGCCGATCCCGAGTCTGAGAGCAGTGCGAGTTGGACCTCACCCTGGGAGTATGATCAGAAGACGAAGGCTTCCGACCTGGTGGGTTTCGTGGGCGAGGACGAGCCGAACCTCGCGATCATGATCGGTTTCGCGCTGGAGGAGTCGGATGTGGATCAACTCAGCCGGAGGCCTGACAAGGCTCTCGCTGCGATGGTCAAACAGAACAAGGTCGAGGTGAAGCTCAAGAACCTCACGGCAGAGGACCGTGAGAAGCTCCCGATCGCGCAGGGTAACGAGATCAAGTCGTTCCTCAAGTATCGAGTTTGCGAGGCGGCCAGTCGTGCTGGAGTACACCCAGGTGCTCTGATGAAGATGAGATGGGTCATTACAAGAAAGGAGACTGGCGACCTCAAGGCTCGGTTGGTGGTTCTTGGCTTTACCGATCCGGGACTTGGGCGGATCAAGACCGCTTCCCCGACATGCAGTCGTCGGGCTCGCCAAGCTTTCCTGGGCGTCTCCGCCTCGATGGGCTTTCAGGTCTCCAAGGGCGACGTCAAGGCAGCTTTCCTACAAGGCGACCTCGGAGAAGAAGGTCGAAATGTCCTGGCCGAACCCGTCAAGGAACTCAGGGAAGCCATGCGACTCGAGCATCACCAATGTGTCAAACTCAAGAGGGCGGTCTACGGTCTGGTGAACGCTCCTCGCAGATGGTGGACAAGAGTTCGCAGGGATATGGCCAAGCTCGGCTGGGTGGAGTCTACGACCGAACCTTGCCTGTGGTGTTTACGAGAACCTGGCGGACAGCTCAGAGGTCTGGCCGTAGCCCACGTGGACGACTTCATGATCGCGATTGACCAGCACTCGGACTTTGCAGTGGACGCCCTGCAGCAGTTCCATCAAGCCTGTGAGTGGGGAAGCTGGGAGACCCAGGATTTTGTTCAATGTGGGACGCGTATCCGACAAGAATATGATGGACGCACAAAGTCGCGGGGCCGTATTCATCTGACCATGATTGACTACGCCCAGGAGCTCATGGAGATAGATATTCCCGCGCATCGACGTCGCGATCCCGAGCAGCCGGTGACACCGTCAGAAGCTACCCGCCTGCGAGCTGCCTTTGGTCAGCTCATGTGGTTGGCTACGCAGGGCGTGCCCCTCATCGGGGCAGAACTGTCACTGCTGTTGGCATACAGTAACTCCGCAACAGTGAATACTCTCCTGCAGGCCAACAAGCTCATCAGGCGCACCAAGTTCGAGGCGACCAAGGAGCTCATCATGGAGAAACATGCGAATCCGTGTGTGGTCGGCTGTTCGGACGCAGCCTGGAATGTTCGACGGGATGGTTCTTCACAAGGTGGTTTCTTGATTTTTCTGACAGATTATACCTTGAGACAGAATCGAGAGGCGCCGATCTCTCTGCTGGCCTGGGCATCTGCAAAGTTGCCAAGGGTGTGTCGGAGCTCGAGTGCGGCCGAAGTACAGGCAGCCAGTGAAGCTCAAGAGGAACTGGAGTTCTGCAGGCTGCTGCTGAGCGAGATCCTGTTGGGACCAGCGCCTCTGAAGCAGTGGACTTCGAGCTGTGCGAAGATTCCTGGTGCCCTGGTCCTGGACTGCCGCGGCGTGTTCGATGCCCTGGATCGGTCAGAGAGCAGCGCCCTCGGCATGAAAGACAAGAGGAGCGCGCTGGAGGCCCTGGCCCTCAAACGCGGCATGGCCGCCACGTCGACATCCCTGCGGTGGTGTCACAGCGGTGCGCAGCTGAGCGATTGTATGACCAAGAACTCGGAGAAGGCTCGTGCCAGCTACAACCTGTGGCTACAGCGAGGTACATGGAAGCTGATATACGATGCTAACTTCATCTCTGAAAAGCAGAGGAAACAACGAGGACTGCAGACACTAGACCAGGCTACATATTCTGCAGTCGATGACGATGATGCCTGGCAGTTGTACCCAGAGGATTTGGAGATCGAGGAGGAGATAGATATTCCCCAGGACTTCCGACTCCCGGAAGCGGTGAGCGTGATGAGACATGATGCTACCTGTGTGCAGTAGCCTACACCACCTAAGGGGAATATTCTATGTGTGTACAGCAGTTCTTTCTCACTCCCCCCCTGAACGTGAAATAACGTTAACATTTAAACAGCCGGCCGTACAGATGGTTCGGGGCATGTGAATCTCAGATAGATTTCTAGGGTTCTTTGTGACCAGAGCTCCTGACCCCGTTTCCGTCCTGTTCGGGTCCACGGAGCTCTCGAACCCATGTGCAACCACCCGCACGTGCTCTGTTTTACTGTCCGTAGCCGTCCGGCTTATAGCCGGGCCAAGAGGCCTTTTTTGGTGATTTTGATTCATCGGTCCGAAGCTCAGGGGGACCGCTCGAGATAGAAAACGAGTTTCTCTCATCGTATCTGCTGCATATCAAGCTCTTCGAGCTCGACATCTCCGCCTACTGGAACAGCCCTGAGGACCAGCTCCCAGAGGCTGTGAGGATTTCTCGAGGTGAAAGGCTGAAGATCCGTGGAAGGCACGCTCCACTGACAGGAGGGGGGATGGGGAGGGGGAGGGGAAGAGGGGGACGTGGCAGGGGGACGCTGCTGATTCAAAGAGAGGACTCAACCCCCCACAGGGGGTGGTTGGGGTTTTGGTTGGTGAAGGACCCAACCCAAAGCAGATGAGAACAGCGCAGGAACTTACACTCCTCGTAAGCAATGCCCCGCGAAAGGGGAGAAGTTCCCTTTGAGGTCGCGAAGCGAGTGAAGGGTGTGCCGGAATTTGCGGGAGGAAGGCATGCGAAACGTTGCCTCTGAGGCCTTCGGTGGAGCCTTGCGGGACCACGAAGCGCGTGAAAGGGTGTGCCGGAATGGGCGGGAAGACTGCATGCGAGAGACCTTGCCGTTGAGGCTTTCGATGGGGCCGATTGCAGGGCCACGAATCGTGAGAAGGGTGTGCTCACGGTATGTTCGCGTCGTGTCGATGGGCGGCGACCCCGCCGCCGGCGTTCAGCGTTGAACGTCGCCGGCGACCCAGAATCGGTCGATGTTGTTCGATCCGACGTTTCGGAAGCGGCCGATCGTTCATGGTTGAGCGGTAACCGCGGTGTCAGGAACCAACGCCGAGGTGACACGAACTTTCCGTGCAGAGTGTGCCTACATAGGCGGGAGGGGGCGTCGTGCGGCACCTTGCCATTGAAGCCGTCGGTGGAACTCCCCTGTGGGGCCACGACAAGTGCGAGGGCTGCACCCGCATGGGCGGGGAGCGCTATGTGCTTCCCAGTGGAGTTCCAATACAGATATATATATATATATATATATATATATATATGTATATATGCAAATATAGATATGTAGAGCCTTGAAACGTGCGAGGGGCGTCCCGATGTGAGCGGGCGGGCGCTGTGCAGCACCACCTCTTGCGGGCTTCGTTGGTGCTGCCCGTGGGGGCCACGAGGCGTGTGAGGGGCGCGCCGAGCCTTCCGTGGGGCTGCCTGGTGGGGGCCAGGGAGCGCGCAAGGGGCACACCAAAATGGGCGGGGGGCGGTAACTGGCACCTGACTAATTATTGGGGCCGTTGGCGCTGGGCACGGGAGAGGGCGGCAGCGGGTTGCGAGCAGGACCCTGCGCCGCACGACCCGAGCTGTTGGGAGAAGCCTTGCGCCACCGACAGCGACGGCGACGGCGTCATGGATGACAAGGACGGTCGTGCCAGCTTGGGCGGGGGCGTACCGTGCGATAGCGGCACCATGCTTTGTTGATGCTGAGATCGCAGGTGTTCAATGAGCGGCAATTGCATTCCATGTTTGTTTTGATGTGGCTTGAAAATCTTCAGTTCGACTGTTTCAGTCGTTCGATCGAGTTGTCTTGCGAGAGTAGTTGTTATGTCCTGAGTGTGACGAAGCGGGGATTGTCTACACGGGATCTCGTCATGCTTATTCCATGGTTGTCTCCATACAGGTGCGGTGCCACGTGGAGTCAAAACGTTGGAAGGAGGTCCGGCTCCGATTGCAGAGGCGAGTCTGGGACCTCGCAGCCCCCTTTCGTTCTTCTTCTTCCTCATGCCGACGGGGCACCTTTATTGCCCCAAGGCTAGCTAACCCGAGGTCATCCCAGCTTCAAGTCCTGCATATGTGGTCCTTCGCTGAGGTCTCTCGAGTGTAGCTTGTGCTGATTCCGACCTGGTGCCTGGATCATTACTATTCTTCGCCATCGTCATCATCATCACCTTCATCATCACCACCATCATGAGCATCATCACCATCATCAGCATCGTCGTCGTCGCCGTCATGCTCACCACCACCATCATAATCATCAACATCATACTTATCATCACCATCATCGTCATCATCATCTCAATAATCACCATCATCGCCATCAACACCAGCATCATCCTCGTCATCATCATTATTATCAGCATCGGTCTCATCACCATAGTCACCATCATCACCTTCATCACCACCATCATCATCAGCATCGTCATTGTCATCATCATCATAACCTGTCACCTGTACTGGCGCAAAGATGATCGCACTTTGCGGCTTGGGCCGCAAAGGTACCATCCTCTGGCGCGGCTCCGCGATCGCACAAAGATGATCGCGCGATGCGCGAAGGTAGGTGACCTAGGTCACCCTCGTCCTGTGGATTGGGATGTTGCCTTTTCAACCTGGCTGCGACGCCCTCCTTTGTCTGTCTTGGCCTGGACTACCGACCAGCACTGTGTGTACAGTGAGCCCAGGGCGTTGTGAGCGCTACAGACATTGAATGACAAACGTTATGCAACTGTCTAATGGCCTTCGGCCCATCCCGCCTCTGTGCCTGGGTTGTAGGTCATACGTAGGCCTCTCGGATGTTCGTTTGGACGTCGCGAGGTACTTCTCGGGGATCTCTTGGGGGCCGCTTTGACGCCTCTTGGAGGCCGTTTGGGGACCTCTTGTGGTGTCTTGGGGGCTTGGGGGGGGGCCTGCTTGCCTTGGGGCCT